ATACTTAATAAAGTTAATGTGTGACATGAAGAAAATAACTTTTCCTCTTAAATTCATTAAATTTCAAATTTAAACAAAATATAAACTCTCGTAATTATCCATATAATATACAGTCTCTGACCAAATTATAAATTATCAGTTGATACTATACAGCTTTAAGGCTTATAAGCAAATGATACCGGTTTGTTTTCGTTTTCGTTCGAGTTTCAATTAGATTGTAATGCAATACGTTAAAATTAAATGCATATAGTAAGTATGTAAGAAATCTCCTGAATAAAACCCCATTACATGTATGTTTAAACATAAAAGTATTCCTATAAACTCATGCAAATCACGTAATTATTAAAAAACTACAGTGCGTCTAATAATTTGATCTAATTATTACAATATTCTAATATAATACCTGATATAATAACTATTCCATATTTATATAATATATCGTCTAGTTTACCCACTCGTTGAATTTACATTATATATCGTGTTCTTTAACCAATTGATACATGACGTAAACAAGTGCAAACTGGTTTTAGTCACGTAAACACAATAAAGCTGTATAGTATCACTTGATAATTGAGATTTTACATAGAATCTAATAGTGCGTCTAATAAGTTGCATCTGCTTGTTGAAGATACACTCCATCAAAATAATTTTGATTACTTTTATTCATTCATTAAAATATAATTTATTAAACTGTTACAAGTTGGAAATTCGTCAGAGTTTCAATAGGGTGTCAAATTCAACCACATCATTATGCAAATGAAATTATCTTAACTTATTTATACTTACTTATAATGTCTATATTTAAACTTATTTATATTGTTAAAACTGTTGTGTAATCCCTAACTAAATTTGGNATTATTAAAAAACTACAGTGCGTCTAATCATTTGATCTAATTATTACAATATTCTAATATAATACCTGATGTAATAACTATTCCATATTTATATAATATATCGTCTAGTTTATCCACTCGTTGAATTTATATTATATATCGTGTTCTTTAACCAATTGATACATGACGTAAACAAGTGCAAACTGGTTTTAGTCACGGAAAAACAATAAAGCTGTATAGTATCACTTGATAATTGAGATTTTACATAGAATCTAATAGTGCGTCTAATAAGTGGCATCTGTTTGTTGAAGATACAATCCATCAAAATAATTTTGATAACTGTTATACATTTATCAAAATATAATTTATTGAACTGTTACAAGTTAGAAATTCGTCAGAGTTTCAATAGGGTGTCAAATTCAACCACATCATTATGCAAATGAAATTATCTTAACTTATGTATACTTACTTATAATATATATATTTAAACTTATATATATTGTTAAAACTGTTGTGTAATCCCTAACTAAATTTGGAGTTGAAAAACTCAAAAATTATATAAATAAATACTTTTATTCCAAGTTAATGCCGAATCTAGCATTCGTACACAATTTCAAGGGTGTACTTAAAGTAAAAACCAATAATTGGGTACTTGCACTTCTAGAAGAACAAGAAAGATCAGGATGCCTACACACGTGACCTATTACGTCAGCTCCAGCTGATGGTTTCTAAACAAAATGGCGTTTTAGAGTTGAGCTAAGTTTCTCCACTTATGTTAGAATGTTAATTAACATGAAGTTAATTAAATGCAGCACCGTATCTCACAATGAATTTGTTGAAATATAATTATTTCTCTACGTATTTTACTTAAGTTAGATTTATTATTTGCTTTTATATTTTATTGCGAACGTGATGTTTTGAGTACTTAGCAACTTCGATACATAATTAGTTTGTTTATGTTCTATATGATAAATGTCTTTTTCTATATGTTCTACAGAAAAAGACATTTTGGTCTTAAAAACTAACAAAACTGGAAAACACTATCAGGATAAAGTTTATCCTGGAAAAACTTTTTGAGAAGGCTATAAGGCCAAGCCATTGAGGATGATGTTCTATGTGGCTTCATGTCTGCCATTGTGTTAAGTAAGGAATATATAATGAAAGAATCGTCTTATCTTTGTGTGAAAATATATAATGTGTCATTAAAGAGAATTGATGCTTGACGGGCTTGGCTTACTCGAAATAGCATGAAAAGAACAGTTGAAAACGTAAACAAGTGCTATGTTTTAACAACCAATCAGGATCGATCTAACCACACTACGTCACTTGCAGGTATTCCATTGAAGAAGCTTACACTAAGCTCAGTTGTATTTTGAATTGTTTCCACCGAATTTGATGCACGTTTGGTAACTGTCAGTTGACAATGGTAAATTGTTTACAATAGAGTACGAGAAAGTGGAAATTTGTTTTCTCTCGCACGTTGCTAAATATTTTCAGAAACCGAAATTAACTGTAATAAAAGTTATTATTATTATTTTTTAGTTACGTAATAAAGATAATTATATTTTTACATTCTTTGGTTGGCATAAATCTGTTAATTGTATTAAATTTATTTCTTTTTACTTTTGTTTCATTTAACCCTAGTATGAATGCATCTTAGTATTCACTGTACTGTGCAGCGCGTTAAAAAAGAAAAAACTTGCACCTGAAAACACCCACCCTGCATAAGTTTTGATCGAATGATCGAAGTTTCACATTCTGGGACTCAATCTTAATGTCTCGAGGGGGTGACCTTTAATATTCTAATTGAAAAGTGTAGAAGATATTTTAAGTTACAAACAGAAAAAAAATTCGCAAGAACAGAAAAAAATGCTTATTTTGAATGTTTAAATCAAATTTAGAATTAAACTACCTAAATTCACTTTCGTTTAAACTCTAAAATACCAATGGAAGAGAAACAGAATTTGGCATGAAGGACTTACCCCGCTGCGTCCACTTAAAATGTAAAAAGGACTCCCCATGGATCAGTAGTAGCGCTTCGTCTTCTCGCTCCACAAGTCCTGGGTTCGATCCTCGTACCGGGCAAATTTGAGTCCGACTTTCATCCTTTCAGTGTGTCGATAAAATGAGTACCAAGGATGCTTGGAGACTAAACACTGGGGGCTCCGCGTTCGGCTGACCACCCAACCGAAACATCTACTTTTGCACCCCAGAGCGCAAGGTCAAGAAAATTGAGATGGGCACAGTAGGCCTTGCCCCTCCCCCCCCCNCCCCCCCCCGTAACGGAATCGTGGCTACATTGTCGCAAAACGTTACCGAGCTCTTGCGGAAAGATTTTTCTTTTAAGAAGTAAAAAGTTTTTTTTCCTGCAGAAATTTTCGAAAGATTTTATCTTTTCTTCTGAATTATATTCAAAAGAAGCCTTTCTCGCTCATCGGTGTTGAAAGAAAATTCTTTTTCTACTTTCATTTGAGAACAATGAAAAATAAAGATTAATGAAGTGAAAAATTTGGTTTTCTTTTCTGCAGAAAATTCCGTTCTAATTTTGTTAATGCAGTTATTACCATAGTCTTAAAATCCGACATTTTTAATATGATATTATTTATTACAACAACTGAATCTCGAAATGAAAACGTGCATTTAGTAACCCTTAAACTCCAATTTTCTGCTACGGATTTCACGGTTTTTTTTTTTTTTTTTTTTAATTAAGATTATGATTTACTAAATGCAAAAAATGAAATAATTAGTGAGTTTTCCCCTACAAAATGTGAGAATCTAGCCCAAAATATTAAAATAAAAATTACATATTTAATTTTTAAAAAAAATTTATTTGATCCGAAAAGTTTTTTTTCTTTTTCATTTTTATTTATTTATTTATTTATTTTTTTGAAGTTGATGCTTGTGTTACTTTAATTTAGTAACATGTACATTAGTTATTTTTAAATGTATCTTGCAGAAAGATATTTGTCTTTCGACTTCAATTATTTCTATCGGGTTTATGTTTACACTGAAGATTGGTTAAACTATTATTAGCGAATACATCCAGTTTTCTTGAAATACAGGAAAACTATTCAAATGAAAAATAACTAGTCAAAGGGGTAAGTAACAAAAAATATACAGTACACTCTCGATTATCCGTGCGCGGATTATCCGGTTTGCGGATTATCCGTGCTCATTCCGGAGTCACACAAAAAATATTAAGAGAAACATTTTCAAGATTAAAAAAATTTGATTCATGAAGTTATAACACTACCAAATTTTTGGAAGCAATATTCGTTATTGGATTGCAGTATATGGAACATCAGCAGAATGGTCAAAGGTAAAATCGTCTACGTTATCACGATCTTGGAGAAAGATGATACCGCTTGATGAACAATCCTCTTCAGATGTTCAAGAAAAATATGATAACAGTATTCTCGAACAAGCAAAAGAAATCGAAGGTTTTGAAATTCTTGATGAAGAAAATTTAGAAGATTGGTTTCAAAGTGATGCATGTGAGCCTGGCTCCAACTGATGAAGACATCGTTATGTTGTTGAATCAAATAGTGATGATAGTAACTGATGCAGAAGATGTAGTAAATGAATGAAATATAATTTCTCATTCTACTGCTCTGTTGAAACTTTATTAGATTATATGGGAGGATTTGATTACGGTGACATTACTGCAGTTCGTAAAATATGTGCATCGATATATTGCGAAGACGCATTACACATTTTTTAAGAAGTAAAATTCCTAGTTTGATGTTATTCTTGCAAATGTCAGTAATTTTTAAATTTTTTTGTACTGGTATTGAATTTTTCTTTAATAAAAGGAGTTTTCGGATTATCCGTTTTTTTCGATTGTCCGTGCGACCTGTTCCGGTAATTAACCCGGATAATCGGGAGTGCACTGTATATGTTTTATCAACGTGATGAATACAGAACAATGGATAATACTACTACTAAAAAAAATGTAGATGATGTGTTTTTGCAAGAATCTTTTATGGCGGTTACGGCTACAATTAACAATTAATGAAGCCATCTAGTGGTGGTTTCTGATTTTTTTCACAAAATATAAGTATTAGAGAGGCATGTCACAGTAAGTCCAAACAAATTCTGCCACAGGTTCCCTCTATGGGCCACTGAATTTAGTTTAGTATGTAAAAAGAGATGATCTTTCTATTTCAGATTATTCGAAGAGAATGCAGAGCTTCTGGAACTGTTCGAGAAATTCAAGCACCTGAAATCTCGGCAAGAACAGGAAGAGAGCGAAGAACTGAAGGAGCACGCCGTGTCCGTCATGAACTCTTTGGACGAGGGCATCAACACGTTGGAAAATGTTGACCAGTGCATCGACTACTTGAGGAGCGTCGGAAAAAGGCACAGAAAGATCAATGGATTCAAAAGCGAATACTTCTGGGTAAGAGGAATTTTTAAGTTAACGAAAATCAGGCTTCCCTGATTTATATTGAAAGATCTCATAAAACGATACATTTTATTTTGCGCAAACAAACGAAAAATGATTTGTTTAAAGGGGGTCGGTGAGGCATATATATTAATAATGCACGTAATACCCGTATGCCCTAAATAAGGGCGGGTCGGGGTAAATTCTTCCATATTAATAATGCTAAAACTGACATTTGTCAATGCACCTTTTCTAGGAAACTACTTACAGTCCCTGGCCAAATTATTAGATTCACCATAAGATTCTATGTAAAATCTTAATTATCAGGTGATACTATACAGCTTGAAATGTTCTTACGCGGCCGATACCGGTTTACACTTGTTTATGTTAGTGTATCAGTTTGTTAAATTAGACGATATATAATATAAATTCGACGATTGAAGAAATTAGACGATATATTATAATAAATATAGAATATTTATTGTATCAGGTATTATATTACAGAAGGGAACCGATTATCCGGAACGGTCGGGACAATCGCTATTCCGGATAACAGACTTTTCCGGTTTTCTGAATCGCTACAAAAAGCCGTTTTCTTTACTGTTAAACCCGACTAAAAAAATTTTTTTGAAAATAATCTTAAAAATAAGAAAAAACGATGAAGTAATACACTAATGATTATTTCCAAAAAGATGGTAAGGTAAACATCTTTAAAAAGAGAAGGAAAAATCGTAAAATCTTATGAGGAAAAAAAAAAAATTTTTTTTTAAAAATGGCGTGAAAATTTATCGAATTTCGTTCCGGTTTTTTGGTTTTCTAATTTCCGGATAACGGGTTCTGTACTGTATTATATTTTAATAATTAGATCAAATTATTAGACGCACTGTAGTTTTTTATAAAATAAATACGTGTTTTGCACGATTTTATTTGCACTACTTTTATATTTAAACACATATGTGATAGTTTTCTATTCGGGAGATTTTTTATATATTTCCTATTTGTATTTATTTTCAACGTATTGCATTATAATATTAACCAATGAATAGACTAACGTAAACAAGTGCAAACCGGTTTCAGCCACTTATAAACAATGAAGCTATATAGTATAACCTGATAATTAAGATTAACCATAGAAACTTTTAATGCGTATAATTTTGCCAGGGACTTTATTTATTCGTCATATGCTGTTGAAGAACCTACATATTTGATCTTCACTTGATGGTCAAGATACTCCATATTTAAAATTTACAAGTAGTTAAAATTATAAATAATTAATCTTTACACGATGTTGGAAAAACCACCATGTTTTATCTTCACATGGTGCTGAGTATTCTCCATATTTACTCATTACATGATGTTGAAGATAAATATCCTTTTCCTCACCTGGATTTAAAATTTTTCCATATTTATTATTCACATGAAGCTGATCAATGGTCTTGTGGTGACTGTACTGGACAACGGGACCATAGGATGTGAGTTCAAATCCCACCGTAGGCATGGATGTTTCTTTCTTTCTCTGTGTTTTATGTCCTTTCTTCTGTGTGAATGTAACACGCCCTATAAACGGTTTTGTGGCTGTATGAGGTGGGCGACGCTATTCCACCGCAGTTGCTTAGCCACAGATGCCCACTGGTATAAGGCAGTAGCAATTCTGGTCTGAGGCCAATAGGAAATAGACCCAAGTGCCAGCCATTAAAATAAATTATTCATATGATGTTTAAAAAAAATATACCTTCATGCGGCGATGAAGTTTTCCCATAATTTACTCACCAGATTTTTTACTTCTTATTTTGTTTCCCGATATCGTAGGAACATTTACCAACATTTACCTGGCGCCGAATTATTAAACGCACTATAAGATTTAACATAAAATCTTAATTATCAGTTGATACTATACAGACTTATTGATTTTACGCGAATGAAACCGGTTTACACTTGCTTATGCTCCTGTATCAATTGGTTAACATTGTAATGCAATACATTAAGAATAAATACAAATAGGAAGTATATAAAAAAATCTTCTGAATTAAAACCTTATTTCATGTTTGTTTGAATATTAAAGTATTGCCTATAAACTCTGTGCAAAACATGCAATTATTAAAAAACTACAGTGCGTCTAATAATTTGGTCTAATTATTACAATATTCTAATATAATACCTGATATAATACATATTTTATATTTATATAATATATCGTCTAGTTTATCCAATAGTCGAATTTATATATATATATTTTTCTATGCCCGCCTGGGGAATGATTTACGTCATACAGGCATTCGAAAGACAGATTTGTTGGCCACTCTTTCACGGGCACCATATTAGGTGTGCCAACGTTGCTCCCACAGTAAGGACAGATAGTACNATTGCACTTGTTTACGTTAGTGTATCAGTTTGTTAAATTAGACTATTTATCATATAAATTCGACGATTGAATAAATTAGACGATATTGCACTTGTTTACGTTAGTGTATCAGTTTTTTAAATTAGACTATTTATCATATAAATTCGACGATTGAATAAATTAGACGATATTGCACTTGTTTACGTTAGTGTATCAATGGGTTAACATTATAATACAATAAGTTAAAAATAAATACAAATAGGAAGTATAGGAAAAATCTCCTGAATTAAAACTCATTGCATGTATGCATAAATATAAAAGTAGTGCCTTTAAACTCGTGCAAAGCATGTCATTATTAGAACACTGCAGTGCGTCTAATAAATTGGTCTAATTATTATAATAGACTAATATAATACCTGATATAATAAATATTTTATATTTATATAATATATCGTCTGATTTATCCAATCGTCTAATTTATATTATATATCGTCTCATTTAACAAACTGATACACTAACATAAACAAGTGCAAACAGTCACGTAAAAACAATAAAGCGGTATAGTATCTACTGATAATTAAGATTTCACTTAGAATTTCACAGTGCGTCTAATAATTTGACCAGGTACAGTAGAAATTTATTGTTAAGTTCATAAAACTTGTATATTTACATCTACTACAGATATTATAAACCTACAAAAATTTTAACACATTTTCTTAAAATTTCAAAATAAACCCTCATCCAATGGAATGAAACTAATTCTTTTTTTTTCCCCTTCAGAAAATGGAAGCGCCATTTCTAGCAGCAGTCAAAGAGACATTAGACGACCGCTACACAGAAAATATGGAGAGCATTTACAAAATAACGATACATTTCATTCTTCAAACAGTTATCGATGGTTTTGAAGGAAATCCATCTCAGAACAATGTCTAAAATACGCTTGGACAATTATTCTATTTTCAAAAACGCAAGCTCCTAATACCGTCCGCTGCGCCATCTATCAGACTAGAACGCATCGGACTTTAATAATATCTACAACCATACAAGATACTTACAAATGATTCGACAGATTTTAAGATGGAGAACTATTTACAAGCAAAGTTTTCTGCAAAGCGATTAAGAACATTTATACAAAGATTGGTGATTCCGGAACTCTGTTTTGAATCAATCGGATTTGATTCAATAACTTATGGTGGGTAAAACCGAACGCTATTTTGGAGCAAATTAGATTCGACGCCTTTCATTTTCAATGTTATTTTTCATCCGTCATTTTTGGATGCTTAGAAATATATAAGATATGTTTACGGTGTGATAATTTATGGATGTATTTCTCTTATGGTATATTGCGCCAATTTATTTTAGCCCAGCTACGACATTGTTTAATTTATTTAGTTTTTAAAAAAATAAACTGTGAAATATTTTTCGCGTTTTAAAGTCACTGAAAAGAACCTAATCGTTTATACAAAAAAGAGAACAATGGTGTGCATTTTGAATGAATATAACATTAAGTATTTTCATGTTCATGCGTCGTCCAATCATTACATATGTAACCCAGACAAGTATTGTTGCTACTCAAAGAAATGAAGCTTTTGTATCAATTGAGAAGGCTAAACTCGATCGTAACCGTTAGTAAGCAGGCTTGTCCATTACATGTCAAAACATCTCAACTCTATCTCTACTAGCCTAGAACTAATCATTTACGTTATATATGACATATTAAATTTCGACATTAAGAAACGTGTTCTAGTTGACAAGTAAAGAATTAAGTTAGAGTATATTTAACACTAAACATACTAACACTTAACATATACATATTTCTGCCATAGCAGGTACCTTGCGTTTCTTGACTGAATGTATGAAATATGGGTGTCAGGAAGGAAATAAACTTTAAAAAAAAACATTATTATAATTAAACAAAATTGTATAAAGCCAATTTCTATGTATTACAAAGAATACGAATTTTTAATTCATTGATCAACGCATTTTTGACTTATACGGGGTGTTTTCATTGTACATTTTCCGCAAGCATATTTCCTCTAATTATTATTATTTATGTAATTGTTATAATTATTTTTATAATTATAAGGAATATATAAGAATCATAATTTTTAAAATCATTCTTGTAATTAATATTATTTCTTCTAAGAACTTGTGCTGTCTTGATTGTATCGACATTTTTCTGGGTAAAAACTAACAGTTAGTTAGAAGTGAAATAAAGCTATTGAAATAAAATATAAGCAACTTACCAAAACATTTAGTTTTTGTCACTTTTTCTGACACAAAAATGCCAATATAAAAGTTTAGGTACTTTCTTGAAATTTGAATTCACAGTTATTCTGATTGAACTTAACTACGCAACAGTCTTTGCCGAAATGTGCAACTCATCGAATGCAATACGTTGAACACGCATTACATCGTCATTTCTAATCCGATAACCTTATAAAGCAACATATTTTTCTCCCGGTCAAATGACCGGTTGTGGTAGAAATAGGTATACGACAAGTATTATTCGAAACAAACAATATACAAAAAAAAATAATAATAGAATATTAACTGTATATAATTGTTTGAAAAAGTCATGAAGTCAAATGTGCAAAAACGATAAGATGATAAGCGTACTTTCGATGCAAAAGTTCTTAAACGGTCATTTGACCGGTTATGGTATGTTTAGTNTTATAAGAATATATAAGAATTATAATTTTTATAATTATTCTTGTAATTAATAATATTTCTTCTAAGAACTTGTGCTGTCTTGATTGTATCGACATTTTTCTGGGTAAAAACTGACAGTTAGTTAGAAATGAAATAAAGCTATTGAAATAAAATATAAGCAACTTACCAAAACATTTAGTTTTTGTCACTTTTTCTGACACAAAAATGCCAATCTAAAATTTTAGGTACTTTCTTGAAATTTGAATTCACAGTTATTCTGATTGAACTTAACTACGCAACAGTCTTTGCAGAAATGTACAACTCATCGAATGCAATACGTTGAACACGCATTACATCGTAAATTCTGATCCGATAACCTTATAAAGCAAAATAAATTGTTCTCCCGGTCAAATGACCAGTTGTGGTAGAAATAGGTATACGACAAGTATTATTCGAAACAAACAATAAACAAAAAAAATAATAATAGAATATTAACTGTATATAATTGTTTGAAAAAGTCATGAAGTCTAATGCGCAAAAATGATAAGATGATCAGCGAATTTCCATGCAAAAGATCCTAAACGGTCACTTGACCGGTCATGGTATGTTTAGTGTTAAGAACGTTACTAATTGATATTTTAATGATGTAAAGAGCGTTGTTTTTACTGTATGTCTGGTTTATCTTTTTGTGGAAAAAAAAAGGACTTGTCAATTGTTCAGTGTGCTAGATCATATTAAGATTAGATATTTAACATTAGCAGCTTTGGAATGGGAGAACACGATTTTTAGTTTGTAAAGAACGGTATTGTACCTTTCAAATTATTCTATACACAATATTCTATTTAAATAAAACAATCTGTGTTTCAAATTCTCTTTATCACATTAAATGCTTTCATTGATTTTATTATTTTAATAGTGAAGTAAGGATGCATAAATGATTATTATCTGACATCTCTAATTTACGAAAATTTTAATAGTTTCGGTTTTAAATACTACTGGGAGTTTTCAAAGTAAAACTAAGAGACACGAATATTTTTTTAATAATAGGGCTCCCGTGCGTAAGATTTAAGCAACTGCGCATGCTCGCATTTATTTTAGATGCTACTTATCTTTAAGTTATGTTGGCATGATTTACGCTACGAAGACAAAGCTACAAGCACGCTGTTTATAGCTGTTAAATGTAGTTTTCTGTTTAAGATTACCTTCGAACTAGAAACATAGATCTGGAATGCGAATTTGAAGAAATGTATTGATGAAATTTAGAAATGCATCATGTGATCTTACAACCAACATTGCGCTCACTCAATAAAAAAGTAATTTTATTGGTTTTTGTTTAACATTATGGTTGCCTAATTGTACTAGTTCCATAGGAAACTAGATATATTTTCGCTAGTTAAAAGAAGTTAAATAATCAATAGAAGTTCAATAATAATTTTTTTAAATATTATTATCGATAATAATAAGCTGCATTCTTCATCGCTGAATTTATCAAAATCAAAAATCTACCCAATTGTTCCTGCTCACAAATCCGCAGTTTTGCGCAGAACAAATCATCTTGAATAATATGCCACAGCTTTAAAGAAAAGGTCTACATTGTAAATGTTTATTTTGATTTTGTGGTCAAAGTTAAAATATTCCACTACGTTAGCGTTTTTAAGTTACTGAATTTTGCAAAATCTCTTATTTTCACTTACGTAGGTTTGAAAACTTTTCACTGGCGCATGCGCACTTCCCTAGAACTGACGCATGCGCACTTACTTTAAATCTTACGTGCGGATAGAAACGTAAATTTGTGAAATCTTCTTATTATAAATCTTCTTCGTTTGTTCAAAATTAACCAAAAGTACTGACTAAGCGTAACATACAGCTTTAACCATTATTTACTTAGAGGGCCTTGTACGCCTAACATTGCGTTTATGGCAGTCCATTTGAGTACAATAAGACAGCCTGATACTTAACAGTGAAGTTACTGATCTAGTTCAGCCTTGGACAAGTATATTTCCAATTTTGTGTGATCATATAATTGTGGATATGTGTATTTAAAGATTTTTATGCGAATATTATAGAAAACTAGTTTATCTTTGATTGTTGTCTTGACTGAACAATGCCATTATGTAAATAACTGTAAAAAGAAATCTGTATTTATTTTCCTGACTATAGAACTTTTTTTTTCAAATTTATGATTGATACTATTTTACCTTAAAAATCTTGACTAAATCTTTTTTTTTTAAATAGTTCTTAATCAATTACTTCGGATTTAAAAAATCTATTTTGTCAAGATTATTTATTTACTTAGTGATTCATTTTATTATAATACGGAACTGGTCAAATAGATTTGATTTTTATTGTATTAATATACATTTTTTCCTATAATGTCATGTTGAAACCTAGTCATATTTTAAATTGCATGTAGATATAATATAAAACATCCCTGCAAAACATGTTGCATACAGCTAATTTTTAGAAATTACTAAAAAATATATATTTGCACATATAAAACTCTTATCATGATATTTATCTATACAACTTGAAGAAAACTGGTTCAAAAGTGCAATAATCAATCAGCTATTTTATGTGTATTGACTGAAACGTATCAAAAATTTAAATAATTACAATAATTTTTTTAAAATTTTTTTTTCAGAAAACTTTTTCAATACGCAAGCTTAAACACTAAAAACAAAATTTTAATTCTTCTCATGAAATATTTTTTAAATATTTATAGTCATTCTTTATTTAACTTGTTCACTTGAATTTTATTGGTAAAGTTAGGTTTTATTTATTTGCTAATTGTAAATATTGCAAGCAGTGTCTGATTTATCATAAGGCCGGAAAGGTCCAGACTTAGGGCCCCCTCATAAGATACGAATATTTTTTGTGTGTTCTTCCTACAGAATTGTCTATTAGAATTATGAGTTAGTAAAGATTAAATCAAATATAGAGAGCCGCGGTGGCTCAGGGGATAGAGCGTTCGCCTTCCAATGAGGAGAGCCGGGTTCGAATCTGGTCGATGGCTGGTCGATACGAATTCCGCATCCGACTTGCAACAACCCCTGTGCTGAAGTGAAATATCCTTAGTGGTAGACGGATCATGGGTTAGAGTCCCCTTGCCGTCAAGCTTACAGTGGGAGGTTCTCGAGGTCTTCCTCTACGTGTAACGCAAATGCTGGTTAGCTCCACCAAAAAAGTCCTCCACGAAAGCCAATACTCGATTCAGGTGTTCCCTTATCTTCAGGATTGGGTTCAAAATGACAAGGCTACGGAGTTGAACTTTAGTAGTCGTAAACCCATAAAAATTGGGTCGACTGTCCAACGACGGTTATAAAATAAAACATAGGCTCAAAATTACTGATATATTGTAATTCATTTATGTTATAAATAATTGATATACGTGATTGAATATAATATTTTATTTAAAGGAACGACAAGAGGGATCTCTGACAGTCCCTAGGGTCCTCTCATTTCTTGATCTGATTACAAGTGTTCATTTCTTTCTGCCATGTGTCATATTTTGCAGGGATGACATCATACGTCATGAATGAGAGATTGAACTCTCATCAAATTTTTGTTTATAAAATTCTAGGTTCGATTTATTCGAAAGCAGATTTTAAAAAAAATTCGATCCTCTCTTCCCTTCTGGTTGGATGGGTGTTATTAATATTTTTTCTTAATTATCGGTTTTTCGTAGTTCGAATTAAGAAAGAAGTCATGAAAATAATGTTGAAGGAATTAATTTGTTAAATCCGTAGTTTAATAAATGAGAACTGAAAGAATGAATAGCGGATTTAT